GAATACTCCTCCCTGTAAATACTAATTCACAAATTTAAAAAAATTGCTGCTTATGTAGAGCGTTTTCATAGAGACTGTTTGTACAAGATGCTTGTAGAAAAAAAAACTCATTTCGCCAAGGAGAAAATGATTGTTGTTTAGGAACACCAGCTGCTACATCAAGGCAAAGCCCATTATAAAGTAAATTTCAACTAAATGGTTCCTCCTTGCAGTGTTCGTTGACCGAGTTTTTGCAATGTGAAATAGGAACTATCGACTGAGAGACGGACCTGAAGAATCAGCCAAGAAAAAAGAAAAGTTATGACTGACTTTGAATATATTTGGCTAGATTATAGGACCAATTAGTGCACAATTTTGAACCGTGCTGGATAAAAGTGGAACTCTTGACTTCAACTACTTAACGGTTTGACAATCAGTAAACTTTCAGGTTAAAAATTATCAAACAACTAAACTCTGTATTTTCTTAGCGGGCCTTTTGTGGTCTCTTGGGACTGGGGGTGGGGCTTTATAATACGTACAAAATTGTTTCCTTTGAAGATCTTAACATGAAATGAAGACGCCGCATAACATAGAAACTATGTGATTACCTCAAAACAGCTGTCATCAATAATAATCAAAAGCGATAAAGAAAGCTGAATTCACCTAAAATGATAAAAGTCAATTATTGCAAGAAAGCTAAGATATGTAATTAAAAACAGAAAAAAATGAAATTTGAAAAACATGACAGTCAAAATACGGTTGTCATGGGAGAATCAACTTCATTGACCAATCATATGCCAACGGCTAAACTGAGTTCATTACTGCAATCCTTTAAAAGCTAGAAGCATTCAAAGTTGGTGGGGTCCTTGCTTAGAAGTCCCCCGCCCCTTCCTGGTCTGAAGAGACTTTAGAGGGCGCTATCTTAAAATATAATACGCGGATAAAAATATATCGCCTGTCTGACAGCTGTGAGCGCTCATTACAAAAAGCGGCGATGTAAAATTACGGTAGAGTTCTTAGTTAATTGAATCAGTGTGAAGATCGTTAGTATTCGTACACAGAAAAGATGTAGGCTATCCAAGGAACAAAAAAGGCCAAAGCGGCTGACATGGGCCCTGGTGCATTACCACTTGGCTTGGGTGCCGCGGTGACTGTTGGTCTTGGAGTCGTCTCCTCTTTCCCTGATCCAGATAGCACACACCTACCGCCAGAACAGTCGCGTTTACATTTGGCTCCATCACAGTGGAGCAGACAATTTCCACCAGGACAGGACATAATGCACAAGTCTGAACCTGACTCACAGTACATTTTACAGTTGCCCTTGGTGCAGGTTTGATCGCATTCCTTGGCTGTGCATCTCATATTGGTACAGTTGTGCCCACAGTTCTGTGTGCAGTTTTCGCCAGCGGTGCACTTGAAGTCGGCACAGTGACCTCCCGAGCATGAGCTATCACAGTTCATTGCTGTGCACTTGATATTGCAGGCGCCATGAGCACAGGTTTGCTCACAGAGCGCGGTGTTAGCGTTGTTACAGTCCAAATTGCATTTTCCTCCTGTGCAACTGGTTTCACACTTTCTCGAAGCACCGCACTGCATGGTGCAAGGCCCTTTGCAATTCTGATTACACTCCCCGGCGTCTGAAATGCACCGAAACACATAATTAAAACAGGTTTGTTCTAAACCTAAGTGGCTGGTACGCACGCTGTTAATAGGGATTCAGACGTTCTCTAGCTTTGCGAAAAAAAAAATTTAATAATTTTCAATTATATTTATAATTTGAAAATGAACTTATATTGTTGCAAGAGACCACGATCATTTTTTCTTGATTGCTGTTATTGATTTTACGATTTTCACAGAAAGCAAGTCTTCGGAGTAAAGCACGAGAGAGCACTGTTATAAACACGTGCCATTTGCTCATACCTTTGGAACACTCCAAACCGCACCCCTCTCCTTCACAGACTTGCCGGCAATCGTCAGCCTCACACTTCACATCACTACACATCTCGGCGCAATTCTGGACAACCACACCATCACCGCTGGCGTGCAATCCACAATGTCCCTTCTCGCATTGCTGGTTGCATTTGGACGTCATCGTGCAGTTTACGCGAGAACAATTTCCCATGCATGTCTGTGTGCAGTCATCGCTTGAACAGTGCAGCGACTCACATCCTCCCGCTAGGCACCGCTGGAAACACTCTGAAGAGTTGCAGCTCAACGACGCGCAAGGCTCCACGACACATACTTGGTCACATTTGGAGTAAGCTGATTCATTGGCGCTGCCGCAGATGAACGGACACTTTCCAGACAGGCAGATTTGAGATCGGATAGTGTTATTGGTGATTCCGTCACAACGGTCAATCCCTTGATTTTGCGCGTGAACGGTGGCAATAAACAGAGAGATTACTAAGATAAGACTTGCTGTAAGTGAGGTAGTTCTCATCGTTGAAACTGGGAAAGAAAAAAAAAATAACAACAAAATTAGAGAAATAAAATACATAATATCATGGGTGACAAATTGCTCCATAATTTTGGCGCGAAATTTCATCGTTAATTTATAATTTCGCACGTGAAATTCCAAAATTCCTTAGCAACGTTTGGCACTAATTTTTTCCATGCAATAGTCAAGTGAAAAGTCCATGATTGTGAGCGCAATTTGTCGGCCATTCTATTAAAAGGTAATCAAATGGTATAATCGTGAAGGAAATAATTCCACTTACAGGTATATTGCGCCCAGGCTTTACATTGTCCAATAACGTAGAAGTCATGGGTTCGAATTCCTTCGACAACTTTTTCCGGTTTTCTAAAACCTATCGAAGATTGCAGCCGAACGATACCCGAAGTGGCTCCGTTAAATGGAGAAATAGCCGTCTCGAAAATAGAGATGAGATATTTCTGAATCAATACCCCGCTAGTGAACTTTTAAATGTGCTTAAATAAAGCTTGTCTATATTTCTGTCTGAAATCGATAGGCAAATGATATTGTTGAAGAAATAAATTTCCCCTACAATCATCATCTATTTCCATATATTTTCCTTTCAGTTTCTAATCATATTTAGTGGTTATTTTGTTCTAATTATCTTACTACAGCCCAACTTCTGAAACTTTCTTTCATTTTCGGTTTTAAAAGAAGCCGGTAAAAACATAAAATTTGAATGACATGCAAATATGAAGTGTGTGAAAGTGGCATTGACGGATTGCATAGTTTGCGACTGTTAATGATATTTGTTCTACTGCAGCGGGTTAGAGTACAAATATATAACACAGTATCTAATATCAAAACATACAATATGCGGGATTTACGATACAATCTTCATGTATTACACACAGCGTTCCCTCAGACAAACTTCAGCGAATAAACTATATATATTTATAAAAGACCGACCTCGTCACGGCATGGCAGTAGTTCTTTTGTATTTTAAGCGAATTTATGCAAATACACCGAACAATATTTCCATAAAGTTGTTTACAGACAGACACCGGACACAAATAGACTCCAAATACATATGTCGTTGTATTCAGCGACACTTCTTAGCAAGTCAGTACAGAAAAACAATTAAGTGAAGTTTCAGGGCGCTAGTGAGGATTGATAAGTAAATTATCGCCGAACTGACCCTTTAAAACCCTGTAAGACAATACCCTTTACTTCTTAGGTTTTGGTCTGTTTTTTTTTTGTAAATTTGTTTTTTAGAGAAATAAATGTTAACACTTAATTATTCAACCGAGTAGCTCCCTACCGTTATCAAATAAAATGGAAGTAGGAAGTTACAATCTCCCTGAATGTGCAAATCAGGAAACATGACGCATCTTTCAGTTTTTCAGTTCTCGAAACTGAAAGTGCTGCAGTTTTAAAATATTTCTTTCTTAGAAACATTTCATTTCCGGTTCAGTGAACGCCAAGAATTTCTATTAGCGAAAATTCTTAAATAAACTGGGACATGACACGGCAGATTTTACCAACGTCTCGATTATTGAATAAACTGCAACAACTCAGTGACATATTTATGGGTACAGTTGCCAAATTTCAACCCGCGTCTTTGAAATATTTTAATAGCGAGATGAAAGATGGAAAGCGTTATCCAGAGATTTCTCGTCATTCATGATCATGATCAATAGAATATGCATTAGGTTTCGTTTGCAGAAGAGATCACTACAAGGCAACCAGTAGGTATTTAATTAAAGTCACCTAAGAAAAAGAGTTTATGTCACGGCAGTTGAAGATCCGGCTAGAAAGAGCCGGCGAATTCAAACGCCGAGGGGCCGTTGAAAACCTCAGTTAAAACCACGAGATCACAAGGACTTTTTAACAAACTAAGCTACGCCTTAAATAGCTCCCTAAAGAAACGGTACATGCATAAATGGACAGCATATATAAAGGCGAAGACCCGGCAACTAAGATCAGTTGAGAGTTCAGCTGAACGAGGGGAAGTACTTTAGATCGTCGTGCATCGATCGAGCCGCTCTCTTAGCCTTCACAGCTCAATCAGCTTCCTCAAATGCGAGAGAAATTCTTATCTAGCGTGCTAAAAAAAATATTAAACGCACCTGCGATAAAGGAGGATTCTGGCGTTGATCACGAAGACACAATGCTCTTCACACTCAGTTCACGTGTACTGTGGTAATTATCGCTTTCGTCTGGACTTTTGGCGCAGATTGCAGTCACGTGACTTCTAAGTGAGTCACGACATTATTCAAAGTACTTCTGTTCAGTGTCGCGTGTCGCGAATACACGAGCCGCTCTTTGACAAATTTTCC